GAATGCTCCAACACTGGAAATTTTTAAGAAGATGTTGGATAACCATTTGTCTGAAGTGGCGTAGGGTTTCCTGCCTGGGCAGGGGGCTGGACTAGAAGACCTCCAAGGTCCCTGCCAACTCTGTTTATTCTATTCTATTCTATTCTATTCTATTCTATTCTATTCTATTCTATTCTATTCCATTCCATTCCATTCCATTCCATTCCATTCCATGTTTTCTATTCTATTCTATTCTATTCTATTCTATTCTATTCCTATTCCTATTCCTATTCCTATTCCTATTCCTATCCATCCACCATCTATCATACAGTATCTCTATTTATATCTCTAGCTGTCTATTAATCTAATCTAATCAATATATATATAAAAGCCAACGGAGTGCTACTCCTCTTCCCTTGCCCTATCTCTATGGCCAACACTGCCGGCCTCCGCCCGGCGGGCCAGGGCGTCACTTGCCCGCCGTGCGCAGGCGCGGGGTGGGGGGCGTGGCGCGTGACGTCATCCGTCAACAAACGAGCTGGGCTCTCCGGAGGCGCCGCCACGATGACCAAGTACTGCCGGGCGCCGCGATGCTCCAACTCGGCCGGGCAGCCGCGCCGGGACCAGCGGCGGCTCAGCTTCTACAAGTCAGCCCCCTTCCGGGAAGGGAGGGTGGGGTTGGGGGTCTGCTTGGGACGCCCCCTCCGGGTCCACCCGCCTCGTGCCAGGGGGCGGGGCCAGGCTGGGGCTGGGAGGGGGGCAAGAGGGGAGAAGGACCCCCCCTCTCCTCCTTGGCCTGACCCCCACCCCCACCCCGCCGAGATCCCCCGGACTACAACTCCCATGGGGCGTGGAGGGATGGGCTTTGTAGTCCAGCCCAACTGGGGAGGGGGCGTGGGACCCTTCCCTTGTTGTGCTTTCGGGGGAGGTTGGGTGGAGGGGGCCAGGAAACCCCTTCTCAAGGAGGGGGGGCAAGAGACCCCTCCCAGGAGGGATAAAGAGACCCCCGCTCCCTAGGAGTGGGGAAGGAGACCCCTCTGGTTGGCCTTTTGTGGTCCCAGAGCCGCTCTTAATGGGGAAGGGGCAAACAGACCTTTGGGAGTCTCTGGCTGTTGCTTCTGATGGGAAAAGGGGGGGGAGTTTATGTAAGGAAGAGGCCACTCCTCATTTACCCCCCTGGAAAGGGAGAGGGGTCTCTAGGGCTGAATGGGGACTTGAATCTGGGGCTCCTGGGCAGCCCCATGAATAGGTGTGTGGTGGTTAAGGTACCAGCCTTGAAAACAGGAGATGGTGAATTCTAGTTGCCACAAAAGTCGGCTGGGTGATTTTGGGCTAGCTTATCCTACCTCACAGGGCTGTCATAGTGGTGAAAATAGGAGGAGGAGGAAGTTGTGCTCCATACCTTCTCCGTCTTGAGTTATTTGTAAAAAAATAATAAAGGCAGAATACAAAGAAATAAAGTCGAGGTTGCCTGGATCTGCACTGACTGGGACCTTTCAGAAATGGAGCAAACATCTAGCAGATTTTCTAAAAGTAACGTTGACTTCTCCTGACTTCGTGGATGTGTCGTTATGGGCCTCTGGGCAAAAAGGAGAAGTGGTTGGTAGATGGTTTTTTTCCCCAAAACTGTGGTTTTGGGTCCAGCAAATGTAACTCTATGACTTTCATAACACAAACCCAGAAACCTGACTCCATGTATAAGGTGGCGAGGTCGGAATTTCTCTGATAACACCAGACTGGCTAGCAGCAACGGGCCTGTCCTTCAGCAAAATGGATTTTAATAGTCTAGTAAAGCGACATCACAGTGAGATGGGCAGCATATACATTTAATAAATAATACCATCTCCTCTGGAGTAAGCCACGGTGTGTTTGATGGGGCCAAATTTTATAAACATTCCAAAACAGGCAGAGCTTTAACTGCAGGTCTTGACTTCTTGTGACCACTCTGGTATCTGAAGCTTTACAAAGAATGGAAGGAAGTTTCCGCAAATGAGATAAGGGCGTCGGCAGAGAAACGAGGAATGCAGTGGGCAAAATACACCCTTGTTTCAGTGGCCTGTGTTTAATACTTAATGGATATCTCATTAATCCCAATCCTTATTTTTCCGTTCCCCTTCAGGTTTCCCTTACACAGCCCTGAGCGTCTCCGGCAGTGGCTTTCCCAAATGAACCAAGAAAAATGGATCCCCACCAAACACCAACATTTGTGCAGTGATCATTTTGCCCCCTCCTGCTTTGAGTACCGGTGGGGAGTTCGCTACCTGAAACCCGATGCCGTTCCCACCATCTTCCAGACGTCGGACAGCCCACTGGTGAGAATCCTGTTGCTTTTCCTCCATGGGGTGGGAATGACCTGCCGGATAACGTCAGGAGGGAGAGGAAAGAAGGCGATTTAAGCCTCTCATGTGCTCGCTTTGGCAGCACATATACTAAAATTGGAACGATACAGAAAAGATTAGCAAGTCTCTCTATGTAAAGTTAGAGATTTATTAAGAGGTGTAGGCAGGTTTAAAGCAGGGGTCTCCAATCTTGGTGACTTTAAGGTTTGTGGACTTCCAACTCCCAGAATTCCCTAGCCAGACATGAGGAAGTTGAAGTCCACAAGTTTTAAAGTTGCTTAGTTGAGAAACACTGGATTAGGTCAGGGGTCTCCAACCTTGGCCACTTTAAGACCTGTGGACTTCAACTCCCAGAATTCCTCAGCCAGCTTTGGTTTGCTGGCTGAGGAATTCTGGGAGTTGAAGTCCACAGGTCTTAAAGTGGCCAAGGTTGGAGACCCCTGGATTAGGTGATCCTTCTAGTCCCTTCCAACTCTATCATTCATGACTGGCTGGAGAATTCTGGGAGTTGAAGTCTACAAGACTTAAAGTTACCAAGTTGGACACCCCTGCTTTAAAGGAAGAAGCAGCGAACCAGTGCTGGTGTCTTCCCATAAAATATATATATACTACATGCAAGGGGGTCTGTTCCTATAATGTATTATTTATTTATACGCTGCCCATCTCACTTTTACAGCAACTGTGGGTAGTCTACAGAACAATACAAAAAAAAAAAAAAAGACCATACAAAACATTTACAAGTAGATGAAATAAGAGACTAAAAAGCAAGAGCATTTTATTTATTTATTCTCGTGTGCCTCATCCTGAAACCTCGGGGTTCCTGTTCACACAATCTGATTCCGGGGACCGTGTGCTGGGGACCGAGGACCAGAGAATAAAACAGTTTCATGCTACTATTTGGGCTCGGATTTAGCTGGCCGTAAACATAAGTTCAGGTTTATCTCTGCTTGGGAAAGATAAATATTAGGGTTTTGTTATTGTGCAGGGGTGTGTGTGTGTGTGTGTGTTTGCTGATAGGGCTTTGATTTCTAAACAGGGCCCTGGTGGCCACAGCCGAATATTCCGGCTCTGTAGCAGGTTGGACTTAGATCCAGGAGTAAACAACTATTGTCAGGTGATTTTAAGTGCAGCTTTAATTACCCCTGGAGAGAATCCGGTTGAGAGACAGGTATGTGCCACGTGAGGCCTGGAGCTTGTTTAGGGATAAAAGACTTGGAATCTGCCGTTGGAGAGGCCAAGCCCTCGATTCCAGGCTCCCAAACGTGAGAGAAGACATCAAAGAGTTCTCCTGCCCTTGGGGGCTTTGAACCCTACGTCAACACCCTCTGCTCCCTGACAGCCCTTCAAGTACTGGAAGGTGGTTATCATGTCTCCCCTAATCCTCCCCCTCCTCCTCCATAGGCTGATCATACATTTAGTCCTCGACTTACAGTGATTTGTTTAGTGCCTCCCTGAAATCCTCCTCCTCCCTCCTAGCACTGAAGATGTTCCCTAGTTGGGTCAATAAATGTCTGCAAGGAAACAACCGAGCTCAGAGAGCACCAAGAACCCCACAGTCCCCCTCCCCCTCTTTCTTCCCCCCCCTTCTGGCCCTTCTCCTCCTCTTTCACCCCACAAGCCCCTCTCTCTCCTAGCACTGATGATGTTACTTAGTTGGGTCATGAAAGGTTTGCAAGAAAACCACCCAGTTCGGAGAGCACCCAGGACCCCACATTTCAACCCCCAGCTACAAGCATTCTCCTTCATTAGTAAATTAGGGAAGGCTGCACTGCATCGTTGACGGGTGGCTCTTTTGTTTTATTTCAGAAGAGGGAGGCTCCTGCCAAACCGGCTTCAAACACACCTGCCAAGAAGCTCCTTCTCGAGTGTGTTGGAGAGGGGGCCACTCCCGCTGCACAAACCCTGACCTGCCAGGAGCCCAGCACCATGGAGACCCTCACCATAGCCATAGACCCCAGTGTGGCCGCCACCCCGGTCTACGTGGAGACTCAGTCTTCGGCCCCCAACTTGGACTTCCAGACCCTCTCGGGACCCCTAGTTGGGACGGTGAACCTCCTTCCTCTGGTCCAAATCGTGGAGCCCCTCAAAGCCGTGACCCTGGCGGTGGCTTCCCCCACGCCAGCCGTGGCGGGCCACGTTTTGCAGGAGCCCCTGGAGCAGCAGGTGGTGGATTTTGTGGCCTCTCTGCCCCCGGCCACGCTGGGAGCCTTGCCCAGCTCTTCCGTAGGGCTGGCCGGGCAGCTTTGCACTGAAGTGGCCTTGCCTTGTGAAGTGGTGGCCGCGGGCGATCAGACTTCGATAAGGGCCATGATGGCCGAGCCGGCAGCGATGGCTGAACAGGGGGCCCTGGTGATCGAGAACATCTCCATTGAGCCTTTCTTGGAAGGCGGCCCTTCCGTGGCCGTCCCCGTCCTGCAAGAGCCCACCGCCACCACCGAGATGGTGGCCTATTTTGAGACCATCCCCACCGCTCCCGTCGCCGCCACCGCCGCCTCTTCCGGGCTGACGCCCCCTGAGACGGTGTTGTCCTCGGCCCTCAGCCTGCCCATCGTCTCCACCCTGCCCATCGTCTCCAACCAGGCGCCCCCGGAGGCCTCCCTCTCAGCCGAGGAGGTGAAGCTGGAGGAGGGCAGCTCTTCCGCCGACTCTTCGGAGGAGCCCCTGGAGGAACATCGCTACCACCGGAACGAGGGGACGACGGCCGAGCTGGTGGAGGTGGTGATGGGGCTCCAGAAGAAGGTGAAAGTGCTCCAGCAGAGACACCGGCGGCACTGTGCCAAGCTGGAGGCCATGGAGAGCATGGTGGAGCAGCTCTGGAAGGAGAACTTGGTGTCGGAGGAGAAACTGAAGGTTCTGGAGTTGGTGAGTGGACGGGGCGCTTCCTTCTGCTAGGCAGAGAATCGGGGCGCGAGGAAGTACGACCGCAAAGGAGCCCAACGTTTCTGTTGCTAAGCGAGATGTTGGTTAAGTGAGTTTTGCCCCATTTTATGACCGTTCTTGCCACCGTTGTTAAGTGAATCGCGATGGCTAGGGAATCTGGAGGGTCCCCACCCCCATTGGCTGTGCTTGTCAGAAGGTCTCTGGGGGCACTTCCACCGTCGTAAATAGGAACCTATTGCCAAGCCTCTGAATTTTGATCACATGACCCCCGCGGATGCTGCAGTGGTCGCAAGTGTGAAAAATGGTCACAGTTCAATTTTTTCCATGCTGTTGTAACTTCGAACGGTCACTAAACAAACTCTTGTAAGTCTAGAAGTGCCTGTACTTAAACCAGTGTTTCTCAACCTTGGTAGCTTGAAGATGGGTGGACTTCAACTCCCAGAATCCCCCAGCCAGCAGCGCTGGCTGGGGGATTCTGGGAGTTGAAGTCCACCCATCTTCAAGCTTCCAAGGTTGAGAAACACTTACTTAAACTGTCTGGCCATGAGCAAAATGGCCATTCCAGTCCCATCTGGACATAGTGGATGCTGCCTATCCGACTGGCCAAAGGCCGACCATCCGAAGTGGTGCCCAGGTATCCTAAACTCCTCCCTCCCCCTTTTCCTTCCTTCTCCAGGCCTGCCTGCAGTCCAGCACCTTCGTGCCAGAGGCCGGTGGCGCAGTGGCCATCATCTGCCAGGACAGAGACCAAGCCTTGGTCTACGCCATGCCTCAGCTCCCCAGTGAAGGCAACGAGACCATCCTCCAGCTGGAAGAACAGTGAGCAGGGACTGAATGGAGGGAGGGAGGGAAGGGGGGCAGCTGAGAACAAGCCTTTCTGCATCTGGTTGCCCCCTCAGCCCTCCCCAGGAAGTGGCCAGAGGCCACAGCCCCCCAAGAACGCCGGCCCAGCTAAGCAGAGCTTCAGCTGCCTCTCGGTGGCCTTATTCCTTCAGCACCTTATCTTGTGATTTCTCTCGGGGGGTATTTGAGATGATTATATATACAATGCACTTTCAGCCCTAATCCTCCTCGGGGCTCCGAGGCTGCTAATTTGCCTCAAGCCTGGCTGGCGTGGCCGTGGCCCAGGGTGATGGGAATTGTAGTGCAAAAGGGAAGACTTCAACCACCGTTCTTCCTCCCTCGTTTTTAATTCTCATCAGCGTCACCGGATAGCGGCCAACGAGTCCCCTGTTCATTTTCATATCCTAGAATTTTGCTGTCTGTTGGTGCTTTTTTGTTTCGAAGGGCTCGGCATCTGCAAGGTGATTTTCCTTCCTGGAGGGGCTGCTGCTGGCCTCTCCATTTTTCCTCGCTGATTCCAACTAGACGGGAGAAATGGTTCCGTGCTGTTGATCCCAACGTCTTTCATGCAGAGCTTGCAATCCGATGGGTTATTACTATGATTATTATTATTATTATTAGGGGGTTGAATGGAAGGGGAGGGCAGGAAGAGCGTGTAGGAAACACGGTAAGAAGAGAGAAGAAAGTCTTAAGGGGCCACAAACAAGCGAAAAGGGAAGTGTGGAAAGGATTGAGACACGGCGACAATCGACAATAGGCCTCGTGCATTTGGAAATGCGCCTGTATTTTGCAAGCCCAAAGCCAGCTGCAGTTGTGCACGTCTGCCTCCTTCGAACCTGGCACTCTTTAAGAGTAAATCCCAGAATCCCCCAGTGATACAAGATGGAGTTTTCTGTGAATTGTAGTTCAAAGTACCTGGAGAAACCATCAAGATGAATGCGAAACTCTCCGTCGACAAGATTAAGAACATGTCATTGTCAATTCGAAGAACGTCTCGAATTCTTTCTGCTTTTCCTCGTGGCCAATTCCTGTAACTGTCTTGAAACCCAAAAAGTCTTCCCAACTAGCTGCCAAATAAGATCGTGAATGAGTTTTGATCATAAATCCTTTCATTGGTTAAATCTTCATTTAAAAAAAAAAACACATACACACACACACACAAACAAAATAGACTGGTTTCTGTGTACCTAAGCATTGGAGTAAAGATTTCATCAAAGGTTTTACAAACGCGGGCCCATCTTCCCCAGTCTGGTGCCTTTCAGATAAATTGGGCCTAAAATTCCTAGCCAGGGTAGCCAAAGGAACTCTGGGAGTTGTAGTCCACCCCATAACGGAGGCTGGCAGCTCGAGGAAGGCCAGGGTAAATCTTGAGAGAATTGAGCAGGGATGATCTCTTTGCATGTGCTGTGTGTTTATACAGTTCTGTAACTTAAATGAATAAAGGGAATCTGTCAGAAAATCTTTTGGTTGGCTTTGATTACGTCAGGAGGAGGAAATCCAGGACTTTGGATCCAGACGTGTCCACAGGGTGGAGTTTTCCAAAGTTAAGACGGAGATCGTGTGACCCAGCTCCCCATCTTGATTTTTCTAAAACTTTACTGTGTGAGCCATGCTTGGATCTATCCTTCCCCATCACGCACAAGAAGTAGAATGGGAGTAGCCTAAAGCAGGTCAGCATTTCTCATCCTCAGCAATGTAGAGTTGCGGATTTCAGGTCCCAGAATTCCCCAGTCAGTGAACTTGAAGACATGTGAACTCCCAACTGCTGTGCTCACTGGGGAATTCTGGGAGTTGAAGTTCATGCTATGTTAAATGTTAAATGTTAAAATTGCTGAGATAGAGAAAGATAACGAACTGGGTATAATGGGTTATGCAGCTGTTTGGAAAGCAGCCAATTCCACATTAGACTCACTGGCCAAGGAACCAGAAGCCAATTACTATTCTTTATCTCATCCCTTACATAAATCTATGGTGTGATCACACTTAAGTTATATTTTGCATATGTCTGGTCATCCCCCCCTCATCCACCATGAGTGAAGTTTAAGAGCTGGAAAAGTTGCAGACCAAAGCAGATCCAGGAGGAAAGAAAATGGAGATTTTAAGCTTGGAAGGCAGCCAAAGGGAGAGTGAGTTATCATGGCATATAAAATCAGGCAGGATGAGATTTATTTTCCCAGAAGGAAATGGCAAGTCTTCCCCGCAGTTGGCGAGAAAAAACACATTCCTCCAGGCTATGGATATATCAATCTGGTTTGCGTTCCTGGAATTTTCAACTGGCTGAGGTTTTCGAGATCATCTATATGGGCCCAATCATGGGTGGGGTCAATCACCAGGAGACGAGGAGTTCTAGTCCTGCTTTAGCTGTTAAAACTGGCTGGATGATTTTGGGCCAATCACCAGGAGACAGGGAATTCTAGTTTCACCTTAGACATGAAAACTGACTGGGTCAATCACCAGGAGTCCTGGTTTAGCTATTAAAACCAGCTGGGTGATTTGAGGCCAATCACCAGGAGATGGAGAGTTCTAGTGCTGCCTTAGGCATGGAAGCTGTCTGAGTGATTTTGGATCGGTCACTCATTGTCAATCCAGCCCACCTAACAGGGTTGTTGTGGGCAAAAATAGAAGGACGAAGGAATATTGTATGATGTATGTTTGCTTATAGAATAATAGAGGCTAGATAAAGATTTAACAAATGCAGCAAAAGGCTTTTCAATGAAACAAAAGGATTTTCATATCAGCCTCTCGGGAGGCAGGACCCTCTGGCTGGACTGCAGCAGGACTCTGTGTGACTTGGAAGGGGGCAGGTTGCAAATACTGCCATTTGCCCATCGGAGGGGTTTGCCGGCTCTCTGGCTGGAAGATGCCCCCCAACTTCTCAGCCGCGGCTGCCCCGGAGGAAGGAACGGGCCAGCTCGGATTACCGGCCGCCCTTTGCGCCCGGAGAGACCCCAACCCACCCCGGAGTGGAGGGAGGGGCCCGAGTCAACAACCCTGCGGACCCGCACGAGCCCTCCCCCGGGCTCGCGACCCCTCGGATCCCCGCAGCAACGACCGTCTGGAGGGGGGGGGGGGGGCTGCAGGGGGGGGGGGGGGGGGCGAGGAGGGCCGGGCGGGGGGCGGCTTCTGCCGCTGATGCCGCTGCTGATGCTGCGGGCGGCGCATGAGCGCTGCGATCGCCGCCGCCTCCGCCTCCTCCTCCATTTGCGCTGCGCCCGCCGAGCCCAGCCGAGGGTCGCTTCTTCGCCGCCGCCGCATCCTCACCGCTGCCTCCTCCGCCCGGTAGGTGGGCGCGCTGCATCCCGGCCGGGGAGCCCTTCCCGGAGGATGGCCGGCTTTGGCGGGACCCTCCCCGCCGATCTCCCTCCCTCCCCCCCCCCCCCCCCCCCCCCCGTCCTTCCCCCGGCAGCCATGCTCCCCCGGCCCCCGTCCTTCCGCCTTCCATCCCGCAGCATCCCTGCCTCTGGTCCTCCCCCCCCCCCCACACACCGCCGTCCCCGCCGGTCCTTCCGACCCCCCTCCCGTTTCCCCGGCCCGCCTCGGCCGCCTCCCCACCGCAGAGCTCGACCAGGACCTGCGACGAGCCCCGCCGCCCCTTCCCCCGGCCGCTGGACCGGGATGCTCCCCGTCCCGCTCCTGCATCCCAAGATGGAAAGGATGCTGCGCTCGCTTAAACCCCCATGTCCCTCCTCCCCAGTCATTCCCCTTCCCTCTTGTCCACCATTCCCCTCCTCCTCCATCAGATGCTGCGAATTCTGGCTCGGCCTCTGAGGGGACAGGCAGCCCCCCATTTGGGGGGCCGGAGCATCGTTGTGCTGCCCCCCTCCCGCCCCGCCAAAGACAAAAAGGCTCGCCAGGTTAAAGTGGGGCTCATTCAGCCAGAGGAAACCCCTGGAGGGAGCAGGACGGGCTCCATGTCGGAGTACTACCTTTCCCATCATCCTCAGCTAGTATTGCTATTGTCCCAGCTGCTAGGAATTCTGGGAGCCAAAGTCCCAGGGGGTCTGGAAAGTGCCAGATTGAGGATGTAAATAGGCATGCGGGATGCCCGCCTGGCTGCAATCGAGGATGGGGGCATTTTTAAAAGAGACCCCCCCCTCTCCTGCCAAGGAGCCCAGATTTTACCCTCCAAAGAGGGTTTTGTTTTGTTTTATTTCATTTCACTGATTTGATTTGAATTATTATTTTATATTATATTATTATTTTAGTTTAGTTTATATTTTATTTTGTTTCATTTTATTTCATTTATGTTATATCTTTTTTTTTTCATTTCATTTTATTATTTTATTTTCCTCCTTTCTTATGTTTTTATGAGGGGGAAGGCATATCTCTTTGCAAAAATACAAATGCAGCCACGTAAAGCAAACCTCAGGAGACCCCAAAGATCCAGGAATGGGGGGTTGGTGCCTAGCCACGCATGGCATGGGAATGGCACACACAGGGCAGCCAGCACCCCTCCTCTCTCAACCTGCAAAATAGAGCCAGCTACCTATCTGGAAGACACCCAGAGACATGCAAACACAGAGGCACACATCCACAGAGCCAAGCCGTCGCTGCGTTGTTGAAGCCCAGCTTTGACACATACAATCTGCAGGCTGTGTATTGATCGACTCCAGCTCATGGGCCTCTCGGAAGGGAGAGTGTGTGAGTGTGGGTTTTGTGTGGGAAGGAAGAGTGTGTGAGTGTGGGCTTTCTACGGCGTCCATTCTTATGGCAGAAAGCTTGGGAATAGCAGCCCTGATGGAATCTGCTCACCGTTAAATGGATCCCAGAGTCCCTTTATGGAGCTTTAATGCTCAGCAAGGTCTCCTCCGTTTCAGGGATGGCGCGCGTGGGAATCGGAAGACGGCAGAGTCTTTCCAGAAGAGTCAAAATGTGATAGTGTGGATTGCGAAGAGGTGACAAGTGGGGTGACTCTCTTGAAGCGGAATGGAGCTGTTAGTTAAAGGAAGAAAAAAAAATATGTTTTTAGTGTGTTCAATTCTCAGTCGTTTTAAATGGAAAGCTGTGTGTTTTCAACCTTGCTAAGTTGAAGAGGGGTGGACTTCAATTCCCAGAATTCCCCAGACAAAAATCACAGCAGTTCTCTATCTTTAATAGCCTCTACCTTGGAGAAAGGTTTTTCAACTGTGCTAACTTGGAGACCTGTGGGCTTCAATCCCCAGAGTTCCCCAGGCAGCAATGCTGGCCGAGGAATTCTGGGAGTTGAAGTCCATAGATCTCCGAGTTCAATAGCATGCAGCTGGGGTATTCTGGGAGTTGAAGTCCCCACATGCTAAACTCAATTGGCTCTGTAGTAAAGTGATTGTGACCAGGAATCGTACTTCAATGTACTCTGAATTTATACATATTAAATTCAGAGGGTCTTATTTTGAGATAAATGAATAGAATATTGAAGCTTTGGCAAGCTCCCCCCCATAACAAGACTGAGGGCCTTTCAGGCAGGTTCTTTTGGCTGGTTTGCTCACCCTAGGAAGCCAAAGGCCATTTGTTTTGTATTGGTTTAGTGCCATGTGCAAACTAAGCCATAAAGTTGGCCATGGTTTACAGCTTAATTTATTACAGGAACCTGGCTAATTATGGCTTAGTCAATAAAGCATAATTAAGCAAGCTGTGGCTTAACCCAATGCATAAAAATGTTTTGTGATTTGATTTCAGATAAAAAGGGGATTTGCAAATCTTGCTCAGGAGTAACTTGACTTCTATAGCTTCTCAAGTTCTTTTGTTCATATTCCATGTTTTCATGTTTTAATTATTTTTATATAGAAATATTTTATATCGTTATTTTTATGAGGTAGTAAGCTGTCCAGAGTCGCTCAACAGTGAGATGGGCAGCATATAAATTTAACAAATATATAAATTTAATAAATAAATTTGATCAGGAATGACCAAGAAGTTAGCCAGAAAGGAAATTTAAGATCATTCTCTTAAATATTTCTATGTTCTCGGTTTTTGGAGAGCTACTCCTTTTGTAACCCTTAAACTTATCTCGTGAATGGGAAAACTGTCAGCTTGATTTAGTGGTTAAGGCATCAGCTGGAAACCAGGAGATGGTGAGTTCCAGTTCTGCGTTAGGCATGAAAGCCGGCTGGGTGACTTTGGGCCAGTCACTAGAAGACTGTGAGTTATAGTTCTAGTTCTTCCCTAGATATGAAGGCCAGATGGATAACTTAGGGCTAATCACCAGGAGACGGGAAATTCTTATCCTGTCTTAGGCCCAAAAGACAACTGGGTAACTTTGGACCAATCACCAGGAGACAGTGAGTTCTAGTTCCACTTTAGGCATGAAAGCTGGCTGGATGATTTTGGGCCAATCCCTAGGAGATGGTGAATTCTAGTCCCTCTCTCTCAGCCCAACCCACCTCACAGGGTTATAGTTACGTGGAAAATAGGAATGGAGGAAGGAGTATTAGGCATGTTCACCACCTTGAGTTATATATAAAGATAATCAAGGTGGGACAA